AAAACTGGATATAACTGTATGTTGTGTTGTGTACCTTTTGATTCTTAACTCATGGGTTTATACTACATATATTTATTATGATTACTGATATATTTGGATTTATTGCTACCATTTTATTTTATGCTTTCTATCATCTTATTTGTTTGTTTGTTTGTTTCTCTTTTCCTGCCTTCCTTTAAGTTGATTTTTAAAAATTCCATTCTTTTTTTGGCTGCTGGTTTTAGGTTATACATTCTATTTATATATTTTAGTGGTTATCCTTAAAATTTTAACATGGATATTTAACAAAGTTAATCAATATGTCTACTCTCTTTCCAACCATCCTTGCCTTACATATTATTGTTGTCCAATATTGTAGTTCAGGCCACCTTTTTTGCCCCATGTATTAACATAGTTATTATTGTTTTAACAGTCTATATTTGTTTAGATTTACCCACATGTTTTCTGATTTCTTTGTTTAACATTTTTTCTTGCATTTCAAACCTTCCTTCTGGGATCCCTTTCCTGAAATATATTCTTTAGAATTCCCTTTAATTAAGGTATTTTGGTGGTAAACTCTCTAAGTTGTTCATTTAAAAATTTTTTTACTTCACCTCATTCTTAAAAGATAATTTTGTTGAGAATATAATTCTGGAATGGCAATTTACCGTCCTCTCTGAACACTTTAAAATAGTGTATTACTGTATTCTGGCATCACTGTTGATGTTGAGGAATCAGCTGTCAGTCGAATTACTTTTCCTCTGAGATTTGTTTCTTTTCCTTCTGATTGCTTTTATGATCTTATCTTTTTATTGATGTTCTATGATTTCAGAGCAATAGGTCTATGTGAGTATTTCTGTTTATTTAATCTGCATGGCTTGTTGGGCTTTCTGGATCAGCTTATTAGTGTTTTGCGAACCGCTGAGAAAATTTCACCTATTATTTCTTCAAATACTGTTTCTAGCCAATTTTATCTATTATCTCCTCCATCCTCCATGGAGATAACCTTTGTTTTATATTTAACCTTAATTTGATATTTTCTATGTCTGTGACCAAATGAACTAATTCTGGATAATTTATTTAGATCTATTTTCTAGTTCACTAATTCTCATATCAGCTGTATCTAATCTACTTAACTCACCCATTGCATTTTTAAATCAATCTTTTATTTCTAAAAGTTGTGTTGAGCCTATATTATTAGGTGCACATGAATTCAGAATTATTATAATTCTGAATCTTCAAATCTACTTGGTCATTTTTATGCCTTCTTGTTTCTTTCTCATAATTTCAAACTGCCCTTTAATTTCTTAAAGCATATTAAATATACCTACTTTATCTTCTGTGTGTTATACTTCCAACATTTTTAGTTTTTCCAAGTCTAGCTTTGTAAGCAGTTGTTTTGCTGGCTCTTACTCACAGTGTCTTATTTCCTTGTATGTTTATAACTTTTTGCCTCAGTTCATGTTCCTTGAAACATTACCTATGGAAGTTCTTTGAGGCCTGATTTGGAGTTGAGTGAGAAGATGTATGTTTTCCTCTGTCAGTCATCTGAAGATTTTTTTCTCCCTTCTACGCAGGATCAAGGTCAAGATAGGCAAGATTCTTTGCTGCCCTTCTTCGTGACAAATTTACTTTTTGTTCACCCTAATATTGAGAGTATGTTGCTTGGAATCCCAGCTTTATCTAGGAAATCTCCTATTAGTCTCTTCACATTACATGGGCCCAACCTTTATCTCTGGTCTCCTTCACTGCACAAGCACTCAAACCCATAGCTCAAGTTCACCTGGGTTTGATTTGGCAGATACTCTTAAGGCGAAAGCTGATGGCAATCTCACTTTTTCTTTAGATTGCTGTTTTCAATGTGCTTTTGTACTTTTGAGAATTTCTTGCCAATTCAATGCTTTTGAAAAATTACTATTTTTATCCAGCTTTGTAGTCGCTTTCATTGGGACATGTTGCTGTATGTTGTCCAGACATACAGGGAGGTCTGGATGTTTTTCTAGTCCACCCTTTCACTAAGCCGTGTCCCTTTGAGGGTTGGTATGGAGATCTCTGTTCCAACTGCCTACCTTGAATGGGCCGAAGACTTTGTCTTCTTTCCTGGGCACAGCTAAAACCCAAGGGTCTATGTTGCCAGCCAATGTTGGTGAACATCTTCAAGGCAGCTATGGCTTCAGAATCCTTTTGGCCACTGGGGCTATATATACCAACAAACTGTGTACTCAGTATACCTGTTGGGGCCAGACGTATGCACAGAAAAATGAAGACAGGCTCTATGATACTAGGTAGCTTCATCTTCTTGTAGACTTCCACATTCCACTGCTGCTTCTTCCTCAAGGCAGCTCAAAAAGGCAGAATTTTTGTTTATCTTATTAGTCAGATGCTCACCTGCTCTATCCTCTGATGTCTAGTCTGGTAGGGTTCTGAATCTTATTAGGGTCATGTAACTAATGGACAATCTATTGAAAGCCATGGACCTTCCTCTAGGAAAATCCAGTGTCAGCAGAATGTAGGGTACCATGTTCTCTGCTTAGACCAAGCATCTGATAATTTTTCTTCTGAGAGATTTGGTTTGGAAGCTTAGGCCTCAGCTTTGGTGAAGTTCTGCTCCCTCAGGAACTCCCATTATCTGTACAGTCCCCAAGACTAGGCAGAGCTTCATGCTTTGTGTTTTCATTGATTTATTCTATATTTGACTGTTTTCATATAATTGAATAAATGTTTTTGACAATGGGCTTATGCAATGTAGGTCTAAGGGGAAGTTTCTGTTTCTTCCTTTATATTTGGATCTGATTTTCCTAACTGCATTTAGTGAACAGCAATTCCTGGCGCCACTATTGTTCTGACTCTGATTTGTTGTGTTCTCTTTTTTTAATTTTTTATTTGACAATATTATGGGGGTACAAAGGTTTTGGTCACATGAATTACTTTTGTACACTTTGAATCAAAGTTATAAGTGTGTCCATCACCCAGATAGTGTGCATTATATCTGTTAGGTGTGAATTTACCCATCATTCTCTCCTCCCCCCTCCCACCTTCTTGACTTCTGTTGAATTTTACTAACATATGTACACATGAATGTTGATCATTTAGTTTTAATTTAAAAGTGAGTACCTGTGGTGTTTGTTTTTCCATTTATTTTTGTTGTTGCAGTGATTGCCTTTGGGGTCTTCTTCATGAATTTTTTGCCTAGGCCAATTTCTTCAAGCTCTGAGATTCTTTCCAATGCCTGCTCTAGCCTATTCTGAAGGCTTTCCACTGTGTTTTGTATTTCCTTAAATGAATTTTCATTTCTAGAAGTTCTGTTTGATTTTTTAAAGATAATTTGATTTCCTTAGTAAATTTTTCATTCATTTCCTACATTATTTTTGTGGTTTCTTTGTGTTGGGTTTCTATTTCCTCTTGTATTTCATTGAGCATCCTTATAATCCATATTAAGAATTCTTCATCTGTCATTTCAATCTTTTCATCTTGGTTGGTATCCATTGGTAAGGAGTTACTATTTTCTTTGGGGGGTGTCCTTTTGCTCTGACTTTTAATGTTTCCAGAGTTCTTTCACTGGTTACGTCTTTTTTTTTTTTTTTTTTTTGAGACAGAGTCTCACTTTGTTGCCCAGACTAGAGTGAGTGCCATGGCATCAGCCTAGCTCACAGCAACCTCAAACTCCTGGGCTCAAGCAATCCTACTGCCTCGGCCTCCCGAGTAGCTGGGACTACAGGCATGTGCCACCATGCCCGGCTCATTTTTTCTATATATATTAGTTGGCCAATTAATTTCTTTCTATTTATAGAAGAGACGGGGTCTCGCTCAGGCTGGTTTGCCCGCCTTGGCCTCCTAGAGTGCTAGGATTACAGAGAGTGAGCCACCACACCCGGACACTGGTTACTTCTTATCTGGCTTCTCGGTTGAGACCTGGGGGTGTTAGGTCTGGCTTACGGGCTTGTCTCTGGGTTCCCTAAGATCAATCCCTGAGCATGCCAGGGAGAGGAGTGCTGGTCCTGAGTTGCCTATGGGGTGTTCTAGCAGATTTGGTGTACCTCTTGGGTTACCTCTGACCTGCTTTCATCACTGTTTTTTCCCAACAGTGTGTAGTGAGTTAAGTTCCCCAGCTTACTCTTGGTGATGGCGGGTGGTACTTCTGAGTATAAATCAGCCACACCATGTTTGCTGGAGTTGAAAGATGCTATGATGAGCTATATATTGTTCTCCCTGTGATTGGTGGATGTTTGTATGATAGAGCCAGCTGCCTAGATGTGCTTTTGTGTCTATCACAGATTCTGGTCCCCCAGATGGAGTACTTGAGTACTTCAAGCTTTAGGAGGGACCCTGTAGCTCGCAGGGGAGCTCTTGATCTCCACCACCACTGAGGTGGGGGAGGAGCAAGGCAGTTTGTGCCTAGGTTGTGGAGCCTGAAAGGCTTTGCAAAGCCTCAGCGGGGCTCAGAGGTTGCTTTTCTTGTGTTTTCAATCTGTACCTGAGTTTAGACCTATTTCAAGGAGTCTGAGCCTTTTTTGATTTATTCTTCAGTGGGTGTTTAGTAAATACAGACTAACCATCTGTTTCTCTCTTTGCCTCTCTATTTCAGTCTTGGGCTTTTTGCGACTCCTTGCATTTCTAATTTAGCCTTTCTCTTAAACTCACTGAGCTCCTTTCCATCTGTTAAATGAGTGGGCTGAATAAGATCAGACATTCTAGAAGCACTTCTCTGAGCACCTTGGGGGCTGGCAGGGACAAAGGCAGGGAGAAGGGAAATGGGAGGTGGGGGGGGACCCACCCCAGCACTGCTTCCACTGGAGCAGGTCTGCTTGCATGTGCTTTATGTACTAGAGCTGGAGAAAGATTCATTCTGAACAAAGTTCCGTGAGGGATTGCTGATGTCCATGTGTGAGTCCTCCCTGAGCAGGAGTCCTGTCACCTGGGCCACAGGGAGAGTCAGGGAAAGGAGGTGTTTCTGTGTAACCCAACTGGTCCCCAACACTCAGCAGATACCCCTTCCCCCCTGACCCCTAATTCTGTCCTAGTTCCAGCTTCCGGAAGGATGTTACCTCTGATGATGAGGGTGTTAATGCTGCTGCTGCTGCCCCTGGGTCAGGCTGCTCCCAAGGATGGAGCCACGAGGTAACAGGATTATGCGGACAGGGCGGTAGGGTGGGAGCAGAGAGAGTCTCTAGAGAATCCGAGGGTGTGGTGGGCCCCTCTGGGAGGCAGGAGACTGGGGTGTGGGCTCTCTGATATCTGCATCCCCCCACTTCAACCTGCTGCCTTGTACCAGTCAGAATGCCACAAAGTGGGCATCCAGTGCATGCTTCTGGACCCTCTTGGGAGCAGGGAGCTCAGCTCCGGTGTGGTGTGAAGCAGAGAGATGAAGCTATGGGCCAGGAAAGGGGCTGCAGTCCTCTTATCAAGACCTTATAGTGCAAACGCCAAAGAAAAGGGATGATTAGCACATTGTTTCTATTTTATTTGAACACCTTTCTGAAGATTTTATGTATTAATACTGTGGCATGGGTGTGCTGGGTAGGAGGGGAGACAGATACAGGAACAGCTGCAAGGACTGGTTGCAGTGACAAAAGTTGCTGCAGCAACCCCTGCCAGGTCTCTGGCATCACAGGTCTGGACTTATTTGGGCAAACAGGTAGCCCCATCCAGACCTGGGAGCACAGTTTGGGACAGAAAGGCTGACAAAGAAATCCTGAGCAGACTGAAACTCCAAAACCAACATATATGCCTTTTGCTTTAACAAGTAAGAGTCAATCTTGTCATGGAGCAAACTGGGTCTGTATAAAACTGGGCAGTGCCCTGGCAGTGGGCTCAGCCAGGGACCTGCCCTCAGCTCCCAGCATTGAAGAAGAGGGGAGCTGTGACCCGTGTTGTCCTGCCACGCCCTGGGCTGCTTTCTTGGGACTCCAACTTGTGTCTACTAGGTGTGGCCTCATCTGGCCTCTGTCGAACTAGATGTTTTATTTGGGTCTTCACTTAAAGTCTAAGTTAGGCAGCTGCAAAAACAGAGCCCGAGGAGGTTTTGCTTCCAAGGAGGCCAGAAGGGCCTCTTCCCCACAAGGTTTTTGGGACTTTTGGGGAAGCAACTCCCTTTGGGTCTGGGGAGAGAACTCTGCCGGGAGATCGGGGTGGAAGGCTGGCAGGCTGGGCACTTAGGGAAGCTCTTTGCAAAGCTGCTCCTCCCTCTCTCCTCCAGGCTGGACTCCGAAGTGCAGCATCAGCTCCTGCCCAACCCCTTCCAGCCGGGCCTGGAGCAGCTCCGGTGAGTAGGTTGGGCTGGGCCCTTCCCTGCGTAGATCAGGCCCCAAGGCTGTACAGTCGCCTCTCTCTGACTGATTTTCCACTTTTCTGACAGACTTCTGCAGGGCTACCTAAAGGGACTAGAGAAGATGGAAGAGGAGCCAGAGCACCTGAGCTGGGAGCAGGGTGAGGGGCTGGTGCATGGGAGGCGCGGGCAGCCAGAGTGGACACTGACCTCTGGCCGCCCATCGACTCCTGTCTTCTCCACCCGCCCCTGGATGCCTCTTCCAACCCAGCTTCTCTTCCGTAGTTCTCCTCTACCTCTTTGCCCTTCATGACTATGACCAGAGTGGACAGCTGGATGGCTTGGAGCTGCTGTCCATGTTGACAGCCGCCCTGGCCCCTGGAGTCGCTGACTCCCCTACCACCAACCCGGTGAGCTCTGCAGGGTGGGGATCCTGTCCTCCTTGGGGCTTTGGTCCTTTTCATCATGACTCTTTTGGCGAATCCCCTGTAAAAAGAGGGCTCAGAACCTGCATGGCAGGGATGCAGAGGTGTGCTGGGGAGGGACAGGGCTCCTGGGACATCTCTGGCCATTAGAGACCCCACAGTGACTCTGTGCTTCCACAGGTGGTCCTGGTAGTGGACAAGGTGCTCGAGACCCAGGACCTGAATGGGGACGGACTCATGACCCCTGCAGAGCTCGTCAACTTCCCGGGAGAGGGCCCCAGGCATGCAGAGCCCAGAGAGCCCCTTGCTCCATCTCCCCGGGAGCCACAAGCTGTTGGGAGACAATCCCTGTTAGCAAAAAGCCCATTAAGACAAGAGATACAGGAAGTCCTGGATCCCAGAGAAGCAGCTGGGGGCCATGTAGAGGCCAGAAGGGAGTCCTTGGAGCCTGTCCAGGAGGCTGGGGGCCAGGCAGAGGCTGAAGGAGATGCCCCAGGACATGGAGGGAAGGCTGGAGGTCAGGCAGAGGCTGAAGAAGATGCCCCAGGCCATGGAGGGGAGGCTGAGAGCCAGGCAGAGGTCAGGGACAATGGGGAGGAAGCCAAAGAGCTTCCAGGGGAAACACTGGAGTTGAAGAACACCCCAAATGAGTTTGAGGTTCACAGTATTCAACTGGAGAATGATGAGATGTAAACCTTGAGGATACATGCTTGCACCTCTTGCAGTCTCAGTGCCAGGACACAAGCCACTAAAGGAGGCATTTGTGTTGGGACCACTTCTGTGTCCCCTTTCTGGCCCCGGTAGCTGTCAGGTCTTTCTCTGTGGCTCAGGTGGACCCTAAGTTAAGTGGCAGCTTTAGGGCCCAGATAACCAATAAATAACTGAATTAATTTATCCCCCCAGGCCATCTATCTACTGGTCCAGCCTGACCAGACCCCCTAGGGGCACAGGGGGTTGGGAATTGAATAGGCTCTTGAGGAACAGGGGTTCAGCTTTCCCAGTGTGTCCAGCCCAGGGTGCTAAGACAGCAGAGTGTGTCCGTACCAGCCACAGCGAGCTGCAGACAGCCCTGTGAAAAAGCTCGGTCTACCTCCGGGGCCCCAATATGCTCCTGTCCCCCCTTCACCTGGTGAAGGGGGGGTTCAGACACCCTGTGCCCTCCTGAAGCTCAGGGCAGATAGTCCCCATCACCCTGTATCTGCCCCCCCCCAGTAATATTAATAATAACTACCATTTTTGAGAGTTTAGTACACACCAGGCACCATGCTGGGCATTTTATATATTATATGATTTTCTATGATCAGGCAGAATTGGCTCCATTTGACAGATGAGGACATTGAGAAAGCCTGAGCTCAGTACTGTACCCTAAGGTGACATACAGCTAATTAAATGGCAGATTTGAAACCAGGTCCATCCTACTCTAACGCCTGTGCCTTCATTGCATTATAAGGCCTTCCTCGTCCTCCCCCAACTCCCATATTGGAGTTGGCCCTCAATTCCAATATGCCTTCAAGACCTGATCTCCCCAAGGGTACCTGGGTCACATTTGTGGCCAAGGCACCACCTCAACTACAAGGCAGGCTGCAAGGGTGGGGCTTTCAGGCTCTGGGGCAGTCGCCAGGGGGAAATATTTTTGGACTGCAGTTGAGTTTAGCCACTTGGGCTCCCAGCTCCTGGGGCCACAGGAGTGGAGTCCACACAGCACAGGGGCCCAGAGAAGCTTTCTTGTGCTGTTGGTTATGTGGAAGGTTCGCTGGGGTGTGTGGAGCTGAGTGTCCTCCCCAGCCAGGAAGGCTCAAGGCCTACCTACGGCCTGGGCCTGCACTTCACCGGGAAGAGCTGAGCCTCCTGCACTCTGAGGACAGAGCTGGCGGCAAGCCTGGGGCACTTCCTGCTGCTCTGGCAGCAGCCCCTCCTCCAGGCCTGAGTGGGAAGGTTAATTTGGGGAGTGGACAAAAAGAAGGAGGACTATAGTGTCAAAGTCTCAGGAATCCTGAACTAGAGCAGTTCAGACCTCAAGAAGGACAAACAGAATGCCAGAGGAGCTGGGTCGGGGGAAGATTTATTTGCTCTGAAGCTCCACAGGGCGAGATGGGGTGGGGGGACCAGGACACAGGCAGAGTGCTCCCCACAACCTGCATCTGCCCAAGGAGCAGGGCAGCCCAGATGCCAGGCTGGATGGAGGGGGGAGGCGGTGGCAGCAGTGGTGCCAGCCTCCGAGGGGGTGACGACCTGGTGCCTCCTGCCGCACGCCTCTCACACGATGCCATCAAAGCCCTGTAGGCCACACTTCTTGCCAGCCACCTGGCAGCCAAACGTCAGTGCCTCCTGAATGCTCTTCCCTGGAGGAGGGACACGTAGCTGTGTCAGCCAGGTGTTTAGGGCAGGGGTAGTCTCAGCCCTGTCCCCTCCTGCTCAGGTACTCACCCTGGGAGAGGCTGAAGATGACAGAGGCATTGAAGGTGTCTCCAGCCCCCAGAGTATCTACCACTCGGGGTGGCGGAAAAGCATCCGAGTGGAACAATTTGCCATCAGGGCACAGGGCGTCAGCGCCCTCCTCAGCCCAGGCACAGATGAGCACAGCCCTGCAAGACAGCTCCCCTCAGCTGAGTGTTACCCCACAAGTTCCCCCAGACTGTGCCCTGCCAGGGCAGACCCCAGAATCCAGCCTCACCTCCCACCCCCAGAACCCCTTCTTGGTGTCCTGGGCTCACCCTTTCCTCACGCGACTGTACAAACTCCTCAGGGCTTCCTTTGCTGACTTGAACCCCAAGTGCTTGGCCACGTCTTTGCTGACAAATACCTGTGGGCAGTGGAAGAGAGGGTAGCAGTCACCTCTAACTCTAGTCACTCACCAAGGGCAGCCCGGTGTTGCCCTCATGTTATGACTACCCAACATATACCATGGCCACATAAATCCCCAACATAGCATCTTGCCGTCCCACAGGAAGATGTTTTTATATGTGCTTAAGATACGTGAGAATACAGCCTTGTAAATTGGGACGCAAAAGCCCCGAGCCATTCGTTCTGGGATCAATGAATTAAAATCCCAGAGAAAGCCTTGAGCGCCATCTTGGGGTAGACTCCATCCCGCTGGGTCGCGCTGTGCGGTCAGGAGCCGGTTTTGTTTTGTTTTTCTTCCACATAACTATGCTCTCTAGGTCTGATTTCTTCGTCTATAAAGAAAAAAGGGGAGGGGGAGGAGGGATTCCAGAACTCCCTCAACACTAGCTACACATTAGAATCTCCAGAGAGAGTTTTAGTAAAAAATACCGAAGCCCTGGCTCTTCTTCTACCAATCATAAAAACTGAGAGGGTGGGGCTCAGGCATCCATATTTTAAAATGAACAGCCAAGGTTGAGGACCAACAGACTGGATGGTCTCCCACCAGCTCCAGCTATGATGCTGTGAATGTCTCCCAAATTCCACTTACATCCCAGCCTTGCCCAAATTTACCTTGTAAAAGTCTCCTTCCCACCCTCTGCTCACCCCTAGTGGCCCCCACAACTTGCCACCCACCCTAGAGTTGGAAGAAACCTCAGAGAACAGTTCTATGCCCTCATTTTGTAGAGGAAAAGACTGAAGAGGCCCAGAGGGGAGATGCCTCCACGCAGGCTTGCACTGTGGCTGTCTTGACCTTGTCCAAGCCCTCTGGGTACCCCATATCTATGCACCCACCTGGCATGGAGTCATTCTACTCCTTGGACACTGCTGAGGCCTGCACTGGAGCCCAGAGCTGGGGGTCTGCATCTCTGCTTTGCCCCCACCTTCTAACACCACCAAGCCAGAAACTGCCATTCCGAGCATGGTAGGCAGGACAAAGGGATTCCCTGGCTCCTTTTAAGAAACAATTAGGGCCAGGCATGGTGGCTCATGCCTGTAATCCTAGCTCTCTGGGAGGCTGAAGTGGGCAGATCGTTTGAGTTCAGGAGTTTGAAACCAACCTGGGCAAGAGTGAGACCCCATCTCTACTATAAATAGAAAGAAATTAATTGGCCAACTAATATATATATAGAAAAAATTAGCTGGGTATGGTGGCACATGCCTGTAGTCCCAGCTACTCGAGAGGCTGAGGCAGGAGGATCGCTTTAGCCCAGGAGTTAGAGGTTGCTGTGAGCTAGGCTGATGCCACAGCACTCACTCTAGCCTGGGCAGCAAAGTGAGACTCTGTCTCAAAAAAAAAAAAAAAAAAAGAAGAAGCAATTAGCCCAGGTGCAGTGGTTCGTGCCTGTAATCCTAGCACTGTGGCAGGAGGATGGCTTGAGGCCAGGAGTTTGAGATGAGCCTGAGCAACATAGTGAGAACTCATCTCTACAAAAAATAGAAAAATTAGCCAGGCATGGTGTGGAGTGCCTGTAGTCCCAGCTACTCAGGATGTTGAGGCAGGAGGATCATTTGAGCCCAGGAGTTTGTGCTTGCAGTGAACTATCATGACACTACTGCACTCTAGCCTGGGCAACAGAGCCAGACCTTGTCTCAAAAAGCAAACCAAAACAAAAAAAAAAACCCCAAACACATTAGCGGGATGTAGCAAGGAGAGGGTGCATGGGGCACTCACCACGTCTCCGTAGCCAAACAGCTGGAACAGCTCTTCATGGGGCTTTTCCACCTCCACGGAGACCCGGATCCTTTGCTCTGGAGGCAGCCTGGCATTGTGCTGGTCTATCCGCTGTAGCATCTTCGCCTGCTCTGAGGCGTTCCGGCCCTAGGGCAGGACAGGGCAGCTCAGGATTGCTGGGCACTGCCTAGCTGATCCAGCTCATTTTTCCCTCCCTGCTGGAATTCTGGGTGAGGGGGGAGAGGGACTGGGGGAGGCTGGGCTGGAACCCCATCCCAAGTTATAAAATTTTAGAGCTGTCATGGACCTTGGAGACCTTATCAACCAGCTCCCTTATTTCATAGATGAGGAGACTAAAGAATAAAATAGACTTTCCAAAGGACCTACAATAAGTTAAATGACAGGACTAGGATTAAACTGCAGGACTTCTCAGTGTTTCCTTCTACCCAGACCCCAGAACCTTTCTTGGATCAAAGGTCCTAGTTCTCTTTATTTGGGAGCTGGGTTAGGCCCTCTCCTTCCTGCTCCCCCAGAGGTAATGGGTCAGGCCCTAAGCAGCCAGCCTCCTGTTAGAGGCAGAGTTGAAGGAGGTGGGGCAGCCCATAACACAGGAAGCACCAGACTTTGCTTGGAGCCAGCTGTGCCTAAATCCTGCTGTGTGACCTTGAGTAAGTCACCCAATCTTAGTTTCCTCACCTGAAAACATAAGGAAGAATGGAGAGGGAACGAGGTGGGTAGGATACACTTATCTCTAAGATACTTGATGGTTCAAAGAAACCAAGAAGGCAGAACATGTGGAGCGGGCTGGCAGGTTGAGCCCCTCCAAACACAGGTAGGGCAGGGCTTGCCTCAATGTGGATCCACTTGAACCGGGTCAGGTCAACCTTCTCAAAATCCTTAGCTGACACATCTGGCAGATTCCTAGGTCACAGAATGGAAAGGACAGAGAAGGGGCATGATGGGGTCAGCTAGGGCCAGGATCTCTAACTGGCTGCTAGGGACTCTGTGCCTGGCGTTGCCAGCAGCATGGTAGGAAGCTGGATCCACAGCGCAGGATTCTCAGGCTCAGCTCCAGGATGGGACCTGTCCCAGTTTGCTGGGGTGCTCCTGCCTGAGTTTGAGGGTGTGATATTAGCTAAGGATAAACTCAACTGCAACACGGGTCCAGGGGCCAGCACTGTGCATCTTGGAGATCATATCTCCCAGAAGGCACCAAGAGCCTGAAACTACACTTCCCAGAATCCCAGTTGCCAGCAGCACACAGCTCCCAGCATGCAGTGCAAAGGCAAAGCCTGCGCTGCCCATGCTCAGCCTGGTCCCCCTCTCTTTTGGGGCCTCAGTGTCGGAAGCTTTCTTATGGCACTCCTGTCCTGAGTTTGGCAACTCCCTGTTGCAAACCTGAAGTCAAAAAGTAGTTGGCTCTTGAGGAAGAGTTTATGTTTGGCTGGCTTGGGCGTGGAGACCTGAGAAGGGGTCTGCCTCCTTGGCGGGTAACCTACACATAGCCAATGTCCTCCCTCTCTGTTCTGTAGCTGAACCCTTCGTCCACTTAACTAGTTGTGTGACCTTGGCCTTTCTGAGGCTGCTTTCCCACTGGTAAATGGGGCTGAAGCCCCAGCCTCACCGGCTTGCTGCAGCTGGAGGTAATGTGTGTGAATATGCCTGGACTGGGGCCAGCGGACAATAAACAATAAACAGATCTCCTGAAAGCTCCTCTCCCTCCCTTCCTGTGAATATGTTCCTTGATCATGTTGCTTGTCCATGTTGTGTCCTTGATCAAAGTTGCTACAGATTGTTACTTAATGGGCAGATGACTGGGATTGCCCAATGTGAAGGTCATGTCTAGCAC